AGTTCGGCCTAGGTTCCTATTCCGAACTACCGTTACTCCTCGTGAAACGAGGTGTACCGGTAGTTCGGAATAGGCACCCTAGTCCGAACTACCTAGTTCGAGCCCCGTGTAGCCGCGCTGCACGGGGTTCGAAGCAGCGGGGATTTAAAAATGGTGGCTCCCCGCTTATGCTAATGAAGCCCGGGAAATTCAAATCCCGGGCTTCATTAGCAAGTGCGGTATGCATACATTACCCTCCTAGTTCGAACTAGGAGGGTAGTGTAGACATACCCTGTGATACTCTGTGTACATTTCTCAGACCTGAGGAAGAGCTATGTTGTTTCTCTCACCAACAGCAGTTGGTCCAATGAAAGATGATGTTAGCTCCTGCTTGTTTGGTGGTCTAGAGCAGTGGTGCACAACCTCTTTTCCACTGAGACCCCCCCACAGCTGGGCCCGGCTGTTGACAGCTGCGCAGCGCTCAGATCTGGGCAGCCGGGGGCTGGGCTTGGCCATTGGTGGCTGCATGGTGCGGTGACCCCCCAGGAAGACAACCGTGACCCCGTTGGGGGTTGCGACCTACAGGTTATGCACCACTGGTCTAGAGGGTGAGAGTTGCTGTTCATACCATTTATTCCAGCACTGCAAATGGTAAAACTTGACTCTCAGTGAGCTCAGGGGTGAGATCGAGAATCGAATGGGCCAGGGACAGAACTACATGTCAATATGCAAACACATTGCTGAGGGAGTTCACATAGCTACTGCCCCATTTAGTCCGACTGGCAAAACAGCAATAAACCAAAATCAAAAGGCAAATTAAAATGCAATTATGTGCCAATGATGTTACTGAGTCGAGCTGCTCACTACATAAACCTGGGCTTATCTAGACTATGGCTTTCCCCTTTCAATTCACTGTTAAGGTGAGCACAGAAGTTGCCAATGAACTTCTCATTAACAATACATCTGTGCTCCATTCATCATTCACATAAAATTAGATTCAACTAATAGCTGACAATACTGAGCACTTTCAACACACCTCATGTGGGACAAACAAGCAAAACATCATTTCTAGACTGGACAGGTTGTTTTCCAGATCTGTTATTTGCAAGGTGTTCCTGCTTGTTGTCATTTTCACAACAAAGGAGCAGCCAATCTCCAGAAATTCTGTATCTCAAAACATCTGGTTTCCTTGGCATAAGGGCACTGTACTTTCCTTGAAGGCCATACCTTGATACGATGGTCATCTTTCTCAGCTATTGTTGCCACTCTTATTAACATGGGATTTCTCTTGTCCACAGCTTCTAGCTTTGTGTTAACCTGGAAACCATGGGCTGGACGCTACAAGAGAAGATTGCAAATGGAATTGTGAAAAGTTCATCATTTTAAGTCACATATATTTTCTGGATAAATAGGTAAGTTCCTCCATATACCACAAACAATTAGATACCACAAACTTTGGGCCCCACTCCTGCAAACCACTGACTGCTGTTGAGAACAAAATCAGGATTTTCTAATGGGGTTATGCTGGCACTTTGCTAGCAGTTAAGGGCTGCAAATGGAACCACGCAGAGGAGCTTTTCACACACCAGCCTAGTGGCAGATTTTATTTCCTCCTTAAAAGTTAAAACACAATTAGATTTCTCAGGATAATCTTGACACCATAGCTTTAAAGACACAGGGCTATCAACCTCTTCATGCAGAACTCCTATTGGGAGTTCTAAGACACTATCCATCTGCAGGTATGTTAGAAAGACATTGGACAGCTACCTACTACAATAATAGTGACTGAAAGACACCATCATCTGACAGCTCTCTTCCATAATTTATGTGATGTGATTTGGCAAGTCTCATTTCAGTCACCTGTGGACATGTGCTCACATCACATAAACCCCTGTCAAACCTGTCAACAAAAACGGTCCTAGCGTTGGAAGTCTCAGCATAGGCCATTAATTTAATGGCACATAAACCCTGCTATCATTTCATCCTAGATATAGTCCCTCCACCAATGGGTTCACGTACACTGCATGTCACATGGAGGAGGATGGCCCTGCTGTTACCAGTGCCTTTCCTTTTCTGCAGATAAACAGAGAAAGCAAGTATCTCAGGCTGTCAATCTGGCACCTTTTACTGGCAAGAAAATCATTTAACATTTGAAGACTTCTGGGTAATAGATCCTGCTTGGCTTCAAGATGTAACAATCTCTAGTTAACCCTTTAGATACTACATAAAATCACATCATCTCTCCATGACAACTGGAGGCAGGCCGTCTTTGCTCTGACCTTGGCCTTAGAACAGTAGTTTCCAATGCTGAAATGTATTACATGTAAGAAATATGTAAAAGTGCTATTCAATTCAAACCATTTGCAGCAGAGCTGGGACATTTAGTGATTTCCTGGAAGAACACTCTATTCCCTTTCAAACTATTTAACAAGAAAATAACAGCCAGAAAAAAACGTGGACATAATACAGTCTTCCAAGGGAGAGTCAGATTGTTTGACACAGAAGGTCCTGGAATGAAAATTCACAGGTAAAACAGAATTTTCCCTTTCTCTGTCCCCTCCACATCAGATAGTCTTCACAGCAGGATGTAGCAGCAAATCATCCTTAAGGTGGAACGATTCAGCTTCTCTTGTAGAATTGAAGATAAACTTACGGGCTACTAGTGTATGCTGTCCTGTAAACCAGTCTTCTACTAATCACTGCACCAGCAAGGCTGAGGATTTTGACTCTACAAGATCTGAGAAAGTGTTTGAGAATGACAGCCCTTCTTAGATGTGTGTGATCTCTCTACCCACAAAAATTACTGCTCTTTTCACAGCGTGCATAGTAACAAGAGAAGCTGTACCTGAGGCTTTGAATGTCTCTGCTATATTAAAAACATCTAGTCCTGTGGCAGCTTAGAGACTAACAAAAATATCATGAGTTTTTGTGGGCAAAACCCACTCCCCAGATGAGTTTGAGTGGAGTAAAAAGGAGGACACTATACAATTCCTCGCAGCTTCTGTTCACATCTAACTTAGGCATTTCTACTTCCTTAGAATGTTTGAATTCAACCAGAAGGGCAACATACCACTTCCTATTCTACGAGGTAACTTTGGGGATACAGAGCTGGTTAGTTTGCTGACATACCATGGTTGATAAGAGTGTGTAACTGTGCTTTCACTGACAGTAATCTCCTAAACCTCCTGGACCGGGAGGGAGCAAACAATGTCTCAAAGAATGCCATTTTCCAAACCACTTCTCTTTTTCCTTCCTGCACTCCCCATTCCTCTTCACTTGATGCGTGTATGTTTTTGCCTGTTTCATTACTGTTACCTTCCTTCTAACCTCCTCCTTATGTCTGTGTTTTATTGCTTGGTTTTGTATTGTCTCCTCTTGCAGCCTTGACAAGTTGTAACAGCATAATTCTATTGGAGATCCCATAAAGCATGAAGTATTTGAAACATATACAAGCTGTAGGTCATTTACCTTATTACACTTTTCATTGTCCGGTTCTTTATAGAAATCAATACAAAATTAATCACACACACAAAAATGAATTCATCAAGAGATGCTAGTACTGGAGATGGACCAAGATCTTTATATACTCATTTACTGCAATTGCTGGCTGGAATCAAAGCCAGAATTCTTCCAGGTCTCCACAAATGAGCACTATAGCCCAGGAGTGGAATTAGAGATTTTATCTCAGCAGATATGCACCTAATGTTGGACAAATCAGACACTTTCTTCTCCCATTTTGTTGGGGTGTGTAAGGATTAAACAAGGGGTCTTGGTAGTTGCGACCATGGCAATGGGGCATGGCACAGGCAGACTCTGCTTCTATTGATTTACAGACTTGTTTTGATTCCTCCTTCCCTGCTTGCTCAGGATAGAGGAGCATGCAGCTGTGCCTAAAATGTAACTTTTTAATGAATGGCCTGTGTGTTAACAATGCTCTCTTCCTTACTCCCTTATCCACTCTGAAATATACATTCAGGGTCACATCTCCTGTACCCCTTGGAAGTTGCTGATTCAAGGACTTTTGTGATGTGAAAACTGCCAACATCAACTTAAAAAGCTGTAAACAGTAAACAGGAGCGAGTATAATTATATTCAACACATGGTTATGATTACGCATTATATGGGTGTTCATACTACTAAATTAGGGCTTAAAGGGTGACGTAATTGATAAATGTAGTTACATACTAACTAAGATAAAAAGGTGTATGTGGGGTTAATTTGTTGCTCACCTGCATCCCAGGTAGGTGGGATCCAAGAAGGAATTAGTATCAGCAAAAAAGGTGCCTTGTTACCCCATTCCCCTTTGGGTCAGCCTGTTCTTTTCTAACACATCTCTCTTCTGAAATAAAGGCTGTGGAGGACAATAACTTAAATGCTAGAGTTTGATGAGGGCTGTAACTGGCCCTTCCACTTGTTTGCTCAAAGCCATGCCTCTGAAGGCTTTTGGCAATGGCTGCTGGACCCTGCATAACATGACAAGAAAGTCACTGGAGAAGGGTGGACATATATTCCTTTCACTTGAAGGGAGAACATTGGCATTTGTGAATACCTGTGTAAGTTACAATTCTACACTGAGATACTTCTATTGCAGCAGAAGCTGGGGTGTATCTCTGGGTGACTCTCCTTGATTAGATCTCTAGGAGGATTCTTTTTGTATTCTGAAATGTTGGCAAGACAATGATATAATTATGCATTTCAGTATTTCCACCTGTAATGCTGATCTCCTTACAGACTTATTGAGAGAAATGAGATCTGAAGCAGGCTGCAGACCATTGTTTCTCTTTGAATCACAAAGATTCTTGCCCCCTTTCCAAACTACCAGCATTTGCTGATGCTGGTGGAGGGTCTTTTGATAGTGTTTTATTTTAATTTATTTTGTGGAAAGGATGAGCTTGTATTCGGGACAATGACTTCTACTGAACAACCTTCCTTGATTGCCTCAAACATCCATTTTCTGAGGTGGCTCACTCCCTGATGAGAACCCACCTTGAAGCACCCTCATAGGGAGTTTTTTTCCTCTTGTTTCATTTTCTAACAACACAAGCAGTTAGTCAAGTTTAATTCTGAAAAGCTATTCGGAAGTCTGGGGCACCTCATTTATGGCCCTAGCTTTATAGATTTCTCTTCTTAGGAGGCTCTAGAGGGGAGATTCTCTTGCTGGAGAGTCAAAGACTTTGTGCTATCCCATTAAGACAGGGACAAGGAACCTAAAGCCTGGGGGCCAGATGCATTCTCCGATTTGCCTGCATCAGGCCCCCAAGACTTGTGGCTCTCCCTCAGCATTGGGGAGCCCATGCTGACACTCCAGCTCCCCCGCCATCCCCGCGTGGAGCTGGAGCACACAAAATCTGGTGTGCAAGGGGAATGTGTGGAATGTCTTTCTCCTTCTCAGTGGGTGAGGGGTTTTTGTTTTTGTTTCTCACTTGTGTGCGCCTCCCGTCTGATTTTTCTGAGGGTCAGCAGTCCCTGACCTTAAAAAAGTTCCCCACCCCTGCATTAAGAGCTGATTGTGAGCAATGTCCTTCAGTTTCATCTAGACCCAACCGCTTTGGAGTGAGGGGCAGAGTGCATTAGCAAGGAGAGAGAAAGGACAGTATGTAGGCATGCATCCTGCATGTTTCCTGAAGGAAAACTACTAGTAGCTACTCCCTCCTGTGGGATCCCTGAGACTGGCAGGGCAGAGGAGGCAGGTCCATCTCCCATGGAAGGGGATCACTTCACCTGCTCACTCAGCCTGGAGCCAGCAGCAGTGACCGCACGGAATAAGGAGTGAGCTGGACCCACTGGAGATAGGCTCACTGGCATCAGAAAGGTTGTAGCCAATGACACCTTTCATGGCAGCTGGACACCTGCAGGCAGAACAGCTTTTGGAGAGTGTGGAATCTTTGCTGCCTTCTCAATCATTTCAGCCTGGACCTTGCTTACAGGCTAGCTGGGAGCAGGGCTTTGCTCCTCTGGCACTTCCCATTCCCCTGATACTCAGGAGACTCCAGCGAATGTTTTCACCTTGCAAACCGTGAGACTAGAGTTCCCATGGTTAGATAAGAGGTGTGACAGGAGAGGGCTTTGGAAAACACCTCAAAGCTACCTACTGATTTCATGGAAATGGTTCTAGCCTGCTCTCAGTGAAGGGAGCTTTCATAAGGCCTGCTTGACAGTCTTGGCATGGACCTCTCCCAGTCACTGGCTGAGAGCTTCTCCTTGGTCCCAAGAACCACCAGAAGAGAGTGCCAAGGGATTGCTGTCTGTACCTGCTATTTCCATGGGTTAAGGAAGTTGCTGCTCTTCCTACTCACCTCACAAAGCCAAACGGTTTTTTTAGCAGTTCTGGGAAAAAAATCCCAAAGCCAAAGAAGAAACAGAGACATCCAGTTAAAAATATTTCAGAAATTGCGCAAAAGCTGATTTATTTGGAGTTGGTCCTATTTGAGCAGGACATTGGGCTAGATGACCTCCTGAGGTCTCTTCCAACCCTAATCTTCTATGAGTCTGACGACAAATTCCTTTCCAAAGGGAGCCCTGGAATTTACCATGTCGAGGGTTTGGAGACAGAATACTGGAGAGTTCCTCCTGAGGGGCCATCCAAAACCCAGGCTCAGAGCAAAGATCTGGTCTGCCTAAGGTGTGTGGAGATGGGCAATGCCCACTGTGAAGACTGCCTGGCATAGGTGAGACTGAGAATGGTACAATCTATAGTAATAGTCTGATCCAGTAACATAAAAGAACTTGACAAACCAATTTAAATGCTCTTGCTGGGGCTGCCTGGGAACTGGTTTCTTCCAAATATTTCTCCCAAGAGAAGCTTTTGGAATCCTTGTATTCTGGAAAAGATGAAGGACTATCTTAACAGTTAAACTATATATATATATATATAAAAAACAAAAAACAAAACAAAAAAAACACCAGTCAACTACAAAACAACCACCACAAAAGAACAATCATGTAATATGTAGCTATTCTGTGAATTTAGCACTCTGAAAAGATGGCAGATTGACATCACTGCAGAATTAAGCTACTTGTTTATTCATGCAGAAAATTTACAGTACAGGCAGTTGTAATGCAAGCTTCCAGGGCACACACAGTGAGCCTCAACCAAAGTTGAAGAAATGAGGGTAGTTCATTTCTTTATTCCTCCATCAATTCTTAAACTCTGGAGTAACCGGCCAAATAGCCATGGGTTTTTGTGACGTGAAATGAGATCGCCAAATTAATTTCCTATATTGAAAGCGTCTGAACAGCTGTCAGCTGGCAAAGACTGTCCATCACTTTGTACCTATCCATAGGCTGGGTGCAAATTAGTACCTTGGTGGTAAAAGGCTTCATCTCCAATTAACTTCCTGAGATTACGGTAAACAAATTTCCTGCATTTCAATACCGGTAGGGTATGCTCTCCTTGGCAGCACACTGCAAACAACATTTTTAAAAACTGTTCTACATCTTTTATTCTATCCCTATTTATCACCATCTTAGTAGCTTGACTTTGTGAGTCTCTGTGTTGTTCCGATTGGACAACCATGCATATCACAAAACCACGCTACTGGCAAATTGAGGACTCCCTTGTTAACAATCTCAGCAGAGAAGTCAAGAATTGAACAGAGACTAGCTTTCCATTGTGGAGGAAGCTCATACTGCCGCCAATGCTGCTAAACCTGTTAAGCAAATAAAGAACTTCATGCTACAGGGCTGTCAATCCAGTCATGATTTTTTTTTACAAGAATACCTGCGAAAGCCTGAAAATACCACTGATTTCCCTCCCAATTTTATCCTTCCCGTTTGTTAATACCTCAGTTTCAATGCAGAAAAAACAAAGAGGGCTCCAACTATTCTTTCTACTTCTTTTTCTAGCAACTCCACAGCCATGCCTTTGAGGGCATGCGACTGAACCTCTTTCATCCATCTTTTCTTCAAGAAAATACAGCATCTGCCTCAAAAGCCCTCCCCCCAAAACTTCAATTCCAAATGACCAAGCTCTACCTCAGTGGCTTGAAAGTACAATACAAATTAAATAGAGATGCTCATCAGTGTGCATTAATAATAATCCTGTTCAGCCAATAAAAGAAAGAGATTGAACAGAACTCGTAACTTGCACAATTATAATTACATAGGATATTGAGCCTGCAGGTCTTCTGACTGAAGCAAGAAACACAATCCTGCTTTTAACATACCAGGTGGTGTTGTCAGTAGGGTTCCAGTTTCTTGGCAATAACCAACAGGACGAATATATGGGCTGCTAGCATCACACCTGGATCAAAAGGAAAGAATTGGCTCCAGTCAACTTTAATGTGAGAAGAAACACAGCAGATCAAATCCCACCTGATGTTTCTTTGCTGGGGCAGCAGATGCTTTTAGCGAGTGTGATCATGATGTACAGCACAAGTGCTTCCTGGTTGGAATTCATAAAAGCTACATTTTCAAGAACTGACATTATAGTTGCCCCAGCGAGACAGGTGAATACCAAAGAGCTATAGTATGTGTTGGTGTGACTATGGCATATTTTCTAAGCATTATTCTTTGAAAACTGAGCCCACTGAATTAGCCTGGGCACTGATTTTCAAAACTAAAGCACAAAATGTAAAAGCACATACCATAAAAAGCCTATGCAAGAAATAAAAGCTATGACAGGGGAGCGGGATGGTTTGAAGACTACAGTTCACAACAGTGTACATATTTCATTAATTGAACCTAAAGCCACGTGGAATTTGTCTGGCTTCTGTTTCAGTTACAAATTCAAAACTCGGTCCAAATACTTGAAACTGTTGAGAGAACAGAGCCCAAATACTGAGGAAGTCCCTTTCCTCCCAAGATTTCTGGGGAAGGGATTAACAGTCTCATGCAAAACCAAGCAAAACAACGCAACTTCAGCCAAATTTTGCTTTGAAGGTATTTTTGTTGGTATTCTTTTTTCAAATCTAGCACTCAAAATGAAATGCGGAGCAAATGATAACCCTTGCAGATTAAGACAATAATGGAACCAGCTCTAAAGGCCTATAGACTGAAACTGCAGAGTGGGTACTTGTGAGGAGAACTAAAGACCATTTAGCACACTACAAACAAATACAGGCAGTCCCCGGGTTACGTACAAGATAGGGACTGTAGGTTTGTTCTTAAGTTGAATTTGTATGTAAGTTGGAACTGGTACATATTGTAGGGGAAACTCTAGCCAAACATTTCTCCAGAGCTCAGTTTTATTCTCCCACACCTCACTTCCCTCAGTCCTTTATTCTCAAGCTGAGGTGTCTGCTGAGAAAAGCCGCTCTGCGTCTCCCTAGTCTGCTGGGGGAAGGGGACGCTAGCTTCGCGTCTCCCTGGTCTGCTGGGGGGAAGCAGCTAGTGCGGGGTTGCCTCACCCCGTTTGTAAGTAGGGATCTGATGTAAGTCGGATCCATGTAACCCGGGGACTGCCTGTATTCAAAATGTTCTCATGATTAGTTGAGACCAGGACTCAGAAGACCCTTACATGGACTGTGGCATGAAATACTCACCATCCTCGCCCCTCCCAAAAAAAGCATCCTGAGATGCTCAGATGAAAAGTGTAATAAAATAACAGACCATAATTTTAAAAAAAAATGAGTAAGACGGTAATCTAAATCCATTGATTTCAAGGGAAAGACTTCCATTGACTTCAATATGATCACAGAGGGCACTGAGACACAGATTTCGATCCAAGGAGGTGACAACTGCAAGCCAGAAACCTTTAAGAGGATGTTCTTTGAAGGACCATGAAAGGGGAAACACATGTGCAGTTACCTCAAAACTGTGACAAGGCCACTTATTGATGAACCCAAAAATTGATTTAGGAGCCCCTCAAATTTAAAAATCTTAGCAGCGAAGAATGGGAGATGATGAATCTCAGTATCTGCAGATACAGTTTGGAAATAGTATTCTTTACCAATAGTCATAATTCTCATTCCAGTTGTCAAAATGAATTAGCAGCCGGTTATCCAACATATCAGTGATGGTTGCCACGCACATCAAAGATGGATTCTTTTTGTCCACTGCCTCTAGTTTCATTCCGACCCGAAAACCAGATGGTGTGACAGGCTAAGGAATACCACAGAGGGAAAAGGTATGTCAAGTTCATTTAAATTACTGTTCCAAACTTACTTGGTTCAAGTTATTTAAACAAAATACTGTAGTAGTAAAAAACAATATCATGTTATAACTACTTGCTGGTCAGAATACCTGTCAGGAGAGTTAACGCCCAGATTTTCATGCATTCTGGCAACAATGCCTATGATATCTAAGCAAGGCTTGGTGCAATCTGAATACTGCTTATGTTCCATTACACCTGAGCCAGGCTATTCTGAGACAGAGGTACAGTGTTAAATTTAGATTAATTAACTAATCAAATAGTCAATGGGATTTCCATTAACTATTTGATTAGTCTATAAGGGTGTCTCTGCAGAAGCCTGGTGCTCCCTGCGGCGCCTGAGGCTTTGAAATGTACAAGAGCCCTGGTGGGGCTCTTGAATATTTCAAAAGGAAGACCAGCAAGGAGTGCAGGGAGTACCCTGCTGGTGCTCTTGTACATTTCAAAAGCAGAATTGCAGCAGAAGTGGCACAAGTGGAGACTGCTTCAGTCCCCGCTCGCACTGTTTCCCACTGTGCCTCTACCTCCCCTGCCCCCCATGGAGACAGTGCTGGGGAGAACTGGCTTGGGGGAGAAGAAGGGGGAAGCGACTAGTTGCATCCCTAGTCAACTATCTGATATGCTTACATCCCTAGTACAGAAGGCCCTGCTGGTGATGAGTTCTGGATAGGTAATAGCATTGCCATATTAATAGAGGAGGTGAAGTCAGATGTGGTTTGTTGTGAGAGTCTCCAGGGTACACAAGTGAGTCAGTCCAAAAAGCAGAGCCAGAATTACATGTGTAGTCCCCTTACTAAAGGTGCCTCTGCTTATTTTCTGGGAAGATCCTGTGTGCTGCAATCTAGCCCCAGAGACTACAATTCCCATGAGCCCTTGAGGAAACCAGGAAGGAAGGGGTTTTTTTTGTTTGGGGGCTGGGTCTCTCCATGTGTGTGGAGAGAGACTCTCAGCCGTCGGTGGACTCTTCCCTTTGTTTTTGGAAAAAAGGAGCCAGGCAACTGGGGAGGAGTTTTATCCATTCCAGGAGCTGTTAGGTTGCAGCTACAGACTTGGATTCAGAGCCTTTGGGACTGGAATCTAGCTGGCTGCTTCTGATTGCCCTTTAGCTGTACCTGTGGCTAGAAGTACTACTCTGCACCCATCACACTGAAGGAGACTAGAATCATCCACTCCAGCTGCAAAATCTTCAAGCGCGCCCACCAAGCAAGTGTTTGGTACTGTGAGTCCTGAGGAGGGCATACTCTGGAGTGTGACAAACGGTGGCAGTGCAAATGCCAGATAGATACGTTCCTATTATTTCTGTGTATTTTGATAGTGTTATTCACTGTTAATCTGTTAAACTCTGTTTCTTTAAGTTGTTAAGTAAAGGCTGTTCATTCTAATGTAATCTATTAGATGTATATGATTTGTAGTTGTTCTGGAGTTAGATCCAGATTATTGTTGGAATAATTTTATTCCTGGAGGCTCCCAAGGCACACCATTAAGTGTGTACAGGGCCAGCCACGTGGCTGTACTGCCACTATATGTTCTTTATGAGCAAGGGACAGCAGCAAGGGGGTGGACAGGGTTTTCCCCAACTAAACAACAGCAGCACTGGGGTACTCAGGATCTCCTTTTATGTTAAAACCATCAGACGCCCAGTCACATCTGTTAGTGTGATCTGGTCCCGAGTAATCTGAGGAGGAAAAAGGGGGTTACACGTGCTAAGGCCTAGGGATGTTAGATAGCAATTCATTGACTAGTCATGTAACTGCATCAAATTTTAGTGGTTACATGACTATTCAATAGTCCTCGGGAGTGGGGCCAGCAGCCAGTGTGCTCCCACCTCCACTCCCAGGGAGTCCCCTGCACTGTTGCCTCTGTATCAGGTGGCTCCACAGATCTGGTGCTCATGCGGAGCCGACTTAAAAGCTGGCTCCCTACGGGTACTGGCTTCCAACTCCTGGAGGCAGCAAGGGGAAGAGGAAGTGCATGTCATCTATAGGATTAACTAATAAGCCCAGGCTTATCAGTTAATCATGAATCTGATTATGTAAGGCCCTGATACTTCTAAAGCAAATTCTCTATCCTTCTGCAATATCACGGTAAGAATACTTTGCTTGGGCTGAATGAGAAATGGTGCTGTGCAAGGAACCAGGAGACTCCTTGACTAACTCAGGATGGGGGGAAATAATGGTGGCGAAGTCAGAAAAACAACAGAGATATAGGGAAACTGAAAAGTTTGTGTCTCTCACCAACAGAGGATGGACCAATAAAAGATATTATCTTGTTCACATTGTCTCTCTAATATCCTGGGACCAACCCAGCTATAACAACACTACAAATAGAGATATGTATGGAGATGAACAGGAACTTGTGTGAGATTTTTAGAGTAAGGGGAAATATCACAAACATCTAGAAGCTAAGGCCCAAGCAAAACAGAGTATTACAATGTATTTAACTAATGCTAATGTAAATCAGCAGAAAAAAGACAAAGAAGGAGGGGCAATATATGGTCTCTGGCTGGGAAGTCAGTGAATGCTGGGAGGTTTGGGGATGGAGAAGTTATTCTGATTTTCCATCCTACAAAAAAATTGCTGAGGGAAACAGCTCCCATCTGACTCCACCAAGTTCTTCAGTTTTATAGCTTCTGTACTGTGTGTGTAAAAAGAACAGTGTTATTATATTCTGGCCAAAGTATTAGGCAGTGCTTACTTATTATTGGCCATATTTTAAACTACATTAAATCTGATGCCACCACTTACTGTGCTGAAGGTCTTGAAAAGGTTTTTCGGGGCTGCTTGAGCTTTGCAATTCTTCAAATACAAAGCCCAATTAAATTCCCCCTCCTTGTAACCTAGAAACAGAGATCAGAGATTGTTTTACAGTGTTCCTGCTATATTCAGATTGGTTTCTCAAAAATGGAAATAACCTAAAGAAAGATTTGAACTTTGCAAGATACCTGCCCTTGTACAATCTTCAAGGGTTATATGTTTCAGTTAACACATTGCTCCCTCTTGCACTGCACTGTCTAATCATTAATCTGAAACTTCAAATGTTTCTAGGAAAAGGAACTCAAGAGAGAAAGAATGAGCTCTGAGCAAAGATACTCATTTGCATGCTCACTTAATAGAGTTACTAATTATTTTGACTCACAATGCTAAGCACTGGAAATATCAGAAAAATTGGTTTGCTCTTATGGCATTAATGTCTTCTCACTTCAAATCATTCAATATGGGTATGACATGAAACAAAACATGGGCATGAAAGGCAGTTTGCAGCAACAAATATTGCTCCCTGTACATGTGTCTCTTATTTTTCCACATACCTTTTGGGGAGAGCAGCTTGTGACCTGTCTTTTCACACCAGCCAACAGGGTGGATATCTGGGGAGTCAGCATTAACCCAGAAGTCATAGTACTCAGAATAACCATCAAAATGTAATCGCATCCTATATCCCTGCACCTATAACCACAAGAGGTTGCATTACCTTCAAGGGACATTGACAGGTGGCATAAAAATATTATTTTAAAAAGTCATTAGCTCTCTTCCCTTTGAGCCTGTAAAACTAAAAGGAGCATTAAAAAACTAATTTACTTTTCAAATTTCAGGGTTACTTTTTCCATTTATGCTGTTTGCTTGCTTTTTCCATCACTCAGGGCTGGTATATACTACTGCCTAAGTCAAGGGTTCTCAAACATCATTGAGCTGTGATCCCCTTCTGACAACAAAAATTACTACACAACCCCAGGAAGGGAGACCGAAACCTGAGCCCACCCAAGCTCCACTGCCTCAAGTTGGGAGTGGCCAAAGCTGAAGCCCAAAGGCCTGTAACCTGAGGCCCACCATCCAGAGCTGAAGCTCTTAGGCTCTGGCCCTTGGTTACGAGGCTCGGGCATGTCTGGGGTCCTGACCCACAGTCTGAGAACTGCTGGCTAAAGTCGATCTAACTTATAACACTTGGGGGGGGGGGGGTGAAAAACTCCTCTCCACCAAAAGCAACACAAGTTTTGCGCTGTCCACTCTGGCGTTATGTCAAGTGGGAGACAACACAGAGCCAACACATCTTCTGCTTGCCGAGGTGGAGTAACTATGGTGCTGGCAGCGTGCTCTCCCACCAGCATTGCGTGTCTTCATCAGACACATTATAATGTTGCAGCAGTGCCGATGCAGAGCTGCAGTGTAGACCTGCCCTCAGTTTGGACGATAGAAAATAAAACTTGACAGTTTCACTTTCTTATTCTCAGACCGTTACCCTACATTGTAATGTTTTGGGTTGCAAGGGAACTGTACAGGATACTATGAAAACATTGCTACCCGATGGTTAGGGTTTGGAACAGTTACCATATGACGAAAAATTAAAAAGACTGGGACTTTTCAGCTTAGAAAAGAGGAGACTAAGGAAGGATACAATAGAGGTCTATAAAATAGGGATGTCAGATAGCATGTAATTGAATAGTTGTGTAACCGCATCAAATTTTAGTGATTACACAACTATTCAATAGTCCCCAGAGGCAGGACGGCAGCCAGTGCGTTCTCAGTTCCACTGCTATTCCTCACTACTGCCTAAGCTTATTGTTTAATCGTGTAGCTGTGTACAGTTGACTTTCCTACTATAAAATCTTGACCGGCGTGGAAAAGTAAATAAGGGAAAGTTGTTTAATTGTTCCCATAACACAAGCACTAGGGATCACCAAATGAGACTAATAGGCAGCAGATTTAAAACAAACAAAAGGAAGAATTTCTTCACACAACGCACAGTCAACCTGTGGAATTCCTTGCCAGAGGATGTTGTGAAGTCCATGACTTTAATAGGGTTCAAAAAAGAACTAGATAAATTCATGGAGGATAGGTCCATTAGCCAAGGTGGCCAGGGATGGTGTCTCTAGCCTCTATTTGCCAGAAGCTGGGAATGGATGACAGGGGATGATGGATCACCCTTTCCTTTCCACAACCCTATTCGGCACCTGGTTCATACAGTTTCAAGAGCAGCAGGGTTTCTAACAATCTTCTTCGCCACTGATCTACCCCTATAGTCAGCTGTATCTGAGGTACTACACAGGAGACTTCCCCCTAATTGCTATGCCTTCCTATGACAGGCTTTCCCCTTTGCAGTTCTCCCCCCCCTCCTCAGGCAGGGTGAGTCTTGCAGGTGTGTCCATTGGTTTATTTTAATCGATTGTTATCATGTCCACTGTAAATAGTTCCCTGGGTGTTCCCCCTTATTTTAGCTAGTATAGACAATCTGTTTCCAACCTGCTGATCCATTTACCGCTCTAATCCTTTGTCCCAAGAAGTGAGGGACAAGAAAAATAATCCCATGTCCAAATACTCTTGTCAAACCAGATCTACAGTCTGGTTAGTGCTGGCTGAGTCCAGAGAAGCTCATTAGCTATATAATCCCAAATTTAGATTCTCAACTATGTTGTTTCAGCTTTCAGCTCAAACTTCTCCCTACCCTTAACATTATCTGGTTTATTTTATTTTTTTAAACCAATCTAATACAATTTCTTTAACAACTCCTCCTCAGACTTCTGCTGCTGTTCCTAATGAAAAGGAAATAAAATTGAGTAAGAACAATTACCTCAGCAATGGTGAGGACACAAAATAAAGATGGGTGTGCAGGATCCAGTCCCTCTAACTTCATTCCAACTTTAAATCCATTCCTACTTTGTGGGAAGGATTGATACTGTGGGGAAATCAATGTTGGAGAAAAAAATTGTAAATTCACTTTTAGAGACACAACTTATTGCAAAATAGTCACCAGGAACACTATTCAATTTAGGAGAAACCATCAAAGCTAGAAATCACCTAGGTGCTACCCCTGCAAAAGTTTGAATTGTTTCCTATGACTGGATGCAGGTGCTCTCAGTTGTTCCCTGCCCTGTATTCCTTTTAAAATGAGAAGTGATGTCCAATGATCAATGATAGTTATATGGACCAAAAATCATCCTGTGTCATGAATATATCTGCAGGTATCATTCTAAACACTGTCAACATATCTGATTTTTAAAAGAATTAACCTGGAAGACTGTTTTAATTAACTATACGCAACAGCGAATCTTTTAAAAATGTGCCAATGCAAGTTTAATATGTACATAAAAGATCCCCCTTTATTGGACCTAACCCAGAAGGCCTGACACAGGACTTTTCTGAAATCCCATTAGGGATTTTGTCTGTGTCATCATTGGGTCCTACTACAGTCATTATCCCAACAGAGCACATTCATTCTTTAGAACTTTTCTACACAAACAGTTATTCAGGACTAGTTGCTTTGGAATAACTCCACATGTGGATGTTCACATTCTGGAATAAGAGTTCCTGGTTTAGCTTAATCCACTTTGGAAACAAGTATCCACACATATAATTATTAGTTTTTGCACTCTAAATTCACATCCAACCTCAATCCAAATTAATTTTCAATTGTAGATAAGCCTAAAGAATAGATTCTCTATAACCAGAATAGCAAACTGCTTACGTCAATACAATGAAATCTTAAAAGGCTTTCCTTTCGGCATATGCAAGTCTCAGAATATTAGTGAATATTCTCCACTGCCAATAAAGTCAGTGGGATTTGTAGAAGCCCAGAAACTTACGGGCTTGGCGCCTGCAGATAAAATTTAATCATATCCAAGTTCTCTCTACTTTGATTTAGACATAGCAACAGGATGCTACTTATACTTTCAATTGTAATGACTGCCTCTTAATAAGATAATCTACAACAGTCCAAGATTCAAGGATCCAATTGATGTTACTAGTGTTTTAATTAGCAAGGCTAAAACCAGCATCACATGATCACCAGTCATGAATAGGACATGTAAAATAAAATAAACTGCCCTCCCAATGCGATTTAGTGACCTGGGAATAGCAGAGTGACTCATAACTCATTGAAGCAGACTAGAACATTATTTGTGGCCAAGATTAAGTCCAAGAACTATAAAGGGTGTGTAAATGTCACCTAGTCCCACTGTTGCCTTAAAAGAAAAATAAGAGATTTAAAACAAATCAAATATTAGCCAGTCATATCTGAAATCCAGAGAATTAACTCTTCATCCCCTGAATTTGGTTCTGTAATAATATTTTGTCCCTTTATACTACTTTTTAGAGAATTTCAAATTGTTTCACAAGTTACAGTACAAATAACCAACTGAGCCTCACAGCCTTTCTGTAGGGTAAGGTATACCTGTTTTCAGTGTGAGAAACAGTTTTCCTTTACCACAATTTTTTTTTTCCAATTTTAAAAAATGTCTCTGTCCTGAATTGGGACAAAAAGTCAAAATTCTCAAAAACTTTCAAAAATCAAAAATCCAGAAGTATTTTTTGTCCAGGTTAAGCAAAACATTTTGTTCTGATTTTGACAGCTTTTAATTTATTATTTACATTGAATTAGCTTATTTTAAAAATAAGTCTGCCTGAACCACAAATCTGCAATTTTGTTTTTATTAAAGTGTCAAAATAGAATGCTTCAACAATTTCAAAACCTGTTTTCCCCCTCCATATTTTCCTGAATTGCACATTTCTTGAAACAAATCCTTTCCCACAAAGAGTATGTTGTTATTAACTGGCATTTTTCAACAAAAAATGTTGAGTCAAAAATTGCTGACTGGCTTTATTCATTTTATATGCATGGAAAACTGAGGCAGAGAGGTTGTATGACTAATTCACTCTGCAGCTGTGGGGATCCATTCTTGACTTACTGCATGTCCTTGGGAAACCTATTTAACACCCCTCTGTACCTCAGTTTTCCCATCTGCAAGGTGAAAGTGCAGATAACAATGCTTGCTTCTTTTTCCAGAGGACTGTGAGATTTAGAACTGAAGAGTGCTTTATGTGCAAAACATTATCATTGCAATGCAGCAAATGTCAACATTACAACTGTAAGTAGAACATTGATAAGTCCCCTCCCTCTAACCACCCGAATGCACCACCTCCATAGAAAATGCATAGGATATATTTTATTACACAACTTACAATGCTGGGAGTCAACATATTTTATGTTACCAATTTATAGCAACCCAAAGCACTACTTGCAACTAGTGGTGTCAGGGCAGTCTCCTATGTTGGCACCATGGGGTTAATAATTCAGGGATGTTGCATTAGAATTATCAACGCTGAGAAAGTATCTAAGGGGCTGACAACCTCTTTGAACAGTTTGACGTGAGCAGCTGGCATCCGTTCCTCTTCCATGTAAGCAACCCAGTTCCACACTGTCTTCTTTCCTGGAACAACTGAACAAGCAAAAACAGAAAGAGATAATGTTTATCTCATGGAAGACAGAGTGCTGAATGGAAGACAGAGAGCAGCCATCTCCTCCCATTCCTTGTCATTCACAGAATCATCACTAAGACCATCTGGAGCAGATCCAAATGCCAACCCAGCAATGTTTAAATAGTAGGTAACAAGAGCCTCCGAGGAATTGAAAGCTCAGCCGGGGGCCAAACACATCTGGTGACTGCTAGCCCCACATCTTTTGAGGAAAATACAAATCCCAGGTTTTATTCTGACTGCATTTATTTTTCATTAGGAAAATGATGTTCAGTGATATGCCAATTAGCTGTGGCACACTAGCTGTTGGCAAGTTGCCATTGGAGTGTCGGTGCTGCAAAGCTTGGACAGCCCTAGAACAGGATCTTAAAAAAAAGAGGAAAATAATTTTTCCACCCAATGCCTCAGAGCATGGAAAAGGGGTGGGACTCAAACTGAAAACAGCCCAGGAAAAGCACACAACAGCAGCTGAAAATAAATCCAAAATGAATCAAATGAAAAACCAAAAAACTTTTATTTAGCGGATATATTAGTTCAAAGATAGTGAATACAATCACAAAGCAGTGTCTGGTTCAGTGTAATAGAAGCACACATAGAAAAAAAAACATTTTAAATAGCTATTAAAATTATCTATATCTGTCTCCCTAGAAGTCCATAATAAATCTCAAACCCATCACCTTCAAAGACTGTAAACAATTCCCTATTTATTTTCATTACATCTTCTATTTGGTGTGATCCAGGTGTGATCCAAAACCCATTGAAATCAATGGGAAAAGTAGGGACGATAGCGTGTAGTCGTTTAAACAATTAACTGATAAGCCTGGGTTTACTGGTTAATCCAAATGACTACACACACATCCCCTGCCCCTTGTTACCGCTGTATCAGAGGAGGTAGGGGAGGGGAGGTGGGAATCAGTGTTCATAGGGAACCAGCTTTTAAGATGGCTCCCTGCAGGTGCTGGCTCCAACAAAGCCATCTGCCCCCACCTCCTGTTTCCCACAGAGGCAACAGTGTTGGAAGGGCAGGCAGGAGCTGGTGTTCAGGGGAGTACAGGATCTTGTGGATGCTGCTGCTTCAGCTAGAGAGGCAGCATTTCAAAGCCTCTCTTGCCTGAGGGGAGCAGGCAAGAACCAGTACCTGAGGGAAGCAGGCTTGTAAGCCAGCACCCTGCACATGCCAGCTCCGCGGAGTGGCCTGCCCCCTCTTACTGCTTCCCATAGAGGCAGTAGGGGGGCAGAAGAGAGCTGGAGCTCGGGGGGGAGCCAGCTTGAAAGCCCCCACGACTCTGCTGCCTCTTTATCAGAGGCAGCGGAGGAAGGGGGCAGGCAGGAGCTGGTGCAGAGAAGAGGCCAGCTTAAAAGCTGGCTCCCCAAGAGCACTGGCTCACCTACACACCTTCCCCACCACCACCACCCTGCTGCCCCTCTGCAGGCAGCACCAGTTACACATTTACACAAAAACATGTTAGTTAACATCCCTAGTGAAAAAGACTCCTATTGACTTCAATAGGCTTTGGATGAGGCTTATTTTTTCTAGGTTCTTATATTGTGCCCAACATGGAAGCAAGAGTCTGTGACATTCCATCTGATCTACTTTTTATATATCAACCTTCTGTAGTATAATAGGTGCCTAACAAAGGTTTTATTACTCTGAATGTGTAACAGTCTCCACCGACCTTGTTTTTTCTGTTTAATATGATCCATTTTGCAACAGCGGATAAAGTTTGCAAACAATAAGAAAAGAGACCATGAGCTCAGCTCACCTTGTTTTAGAGGTTTAGTATTTCTGCGGCTTTTCATATTATTTGATTTATTCTTCTCCTAGACACAATATGATTAAAAAAAAAGTTTAGCCATATTGTTGTCTTCCCCACCTGGTTATTTCTCAATGAAGGCAGGATAAAGATATACCATATTACTAACAAAAATATTGACTGCCATTATTTTTCCTTAAACCAAACCTGTGAGTGCATTACAGTAACAGTGAGTTCTCTCATATATAGTTACATTTTTACCCTAAAGCATATGAAAGTGCTTTACAAATTGTTTCCACTAAAGCTCATTTAAATAAGTCAACATGGTGTAGTAAAAGACTGAAATTTCTGTTCTAATGGATTGGATTCATTGTCTGCACTGCAGAATTTGCTGCAATAAGTAACACTGCTATCCTATCCATTAGATTCACACAAATTTGTGGCCATCTATGCTACTCAGAAAGGATATTTCACCAGACATTTAAGGAAATAAAAGTTCCAAGTAACTGCTGTCACAAAAAGACTCCTCTAGAAACTTTATTTTTCTTTGAACGTCACAGATTATATCTGGTAACTATTAAACTACAAAAAAAAAAGTTAGTTCACCTGGTTGTCACTTCTAAAAACATGGACAAATTGGAGAAGATCCAAAGAAGAGCAACAAAAATTATTAAAGGTCTAGAAAACATAACTTGTGAGAGAAGCCTGAAAAAATTGGGGTTGTTTAATCTGGAAAAGAGAAGACTGAGAAGGGACATAACAGCTTTCAAGAACCTAAAAGGCTGTTACAAAGAAGAAGGAGAAAAAATATTCTCCTTAACCTCTGAGGTCGGACAAGAAGCAACTTAAATTGAAGCGAGGTTGTAGAATCTCCATCACTGGAGATTTTTCTAAGAGCGGGTTAGGCAGACACCTGTCAGGGATGGTTTAGATGGCAGTTGGTCCTGCCAGGAGAGCGGGAGACTGGACTTGATGACCTCTCAAGGTTCCTTCCAGTTCTATGATTTCTTGGAGCAAACCAATAAAGTCAAAATTTGAAAAGCAGAGCCAAAACATGTCCCAAGAATCTTTAAAAGATTTTTTAAATTGGGGCAGGAGAAAAGAAAGGGTGGGATGGAAAACGCAAGTAGTTTTGAGGTCTTGCATACAACTGCTCAGATAAAAGCTGAACAATGGGAATGAATTCAACCATATGCAACATTTGAAACTTTAGCCTGTGCCACCAGTAACTACTCCAAGTTAGGGATATGAAGGACTAGTCAACTATCCGATAAGCAAATGCTTATCGGATAGTCGACATGATAGTTGAGTAGTTGCTTCCTCCCACCCCTTGCTGCCTCTATGAGATACAGGCAGCAAGGAGGGAGAATAAAAGGGGGGTATTTCAAAGTGGCAGCGCCATGCGGAGCCCGAGCTCAGCTGGGGAGTCCCCAGCTAACCCTGGGCTCCTTGTGGCACTGCCGCTTTGAATGCCATGGGGAGCCTGGCATTTCAAAGCGGCAGTGCCGTGCCGGGATCAGCTGATGACCCTGGGCTCCATGTGGCGCTGCTGCTTTGAAATGCCACCATGGCACTTCGAAGCGCCTCAAAGGCGGAGGCACCCTATCGACTAATCCAATAGTCAATGCAATTACCTGATACTTAATATCCTTACTCCAAGTGAGTTCAGTGTTTCAAAATAAGCAAAACAAATGAATGCAGATAAAAATATGACTTGGCAGCTTGCATACCAAGTAGCAGAATATGGACCTTTAAAACAAAGGACAGCAGATTTTTGATTATATGAACACTAATCTTGTGAACTGCTTCTTTCCCTTGATCAGAAAGGTACATGAGCATGTACCTGAACAGGAAGCAGAAGTGTCAAGCACTCAGAGGATGGGTGTGTCAACCTTCCCATGTTCTAGTGAAAGTGCCTTTATAATGGACAAGTCATGCCTCAGCAATTATTTTGCAGTGTTTTGAAGGACAAGGAAAAGACAAGGTGGTACAACTTCTACATTTGAAAAGAGTGAGAAGAGATGGTGGCAAAGACAAGATGCAATTTTCTCAAGCAAAAAATATCTGCAATTTACTTCACCAGTAACTACATACATGCTGCAGTGTTTTCAACACTGGGGGATATTTTTGTTTTCCCATTATTAGTCTCCAGCTATTTTAATGTACAGAAAGGTCTGCAGATGCACATGCATTGGATGGTCTAATTCTGAACTGAAGTTCCACTGTTTCAGATGTTTTCTGTACAGTTTTCTGTATTGTGGCTTTAGATTATACTCTTATGTACAGAGGCCTTGTCATATATGTATTTTTACTACTGTAAAGGACTGTACTTTGCTGGTACTAAATATGCAAAATATAAGTGTGGACCAATTATAGTCTAAAAGCTCAATTGCAACCTCATATCAGCTTTTCACCAACATAACTCCACTGATTTCAGTGGAGATATTCCTGATTCACCCCAATTGTAATGAGCTCAGATTTAAGTCCCAATGATTCATGGAGCCCACTGGTGTACACAGAATACACCTCTTTGATTTGATATGATTTATGAAAGTAGCCTTGTTTGTTACAATTCAATTGAAACAAAGTGGATGCCAATCTCGTTTACCTCATCATCATCTACGTTCTCCTCCTCATCCTCAGAATCCAGAAGAAGTTTCCTCTTCCTTTGGAGTTGCTTGAGAGGTTTATCAGCCTCATTAACCTGGCAGCCAATGCTGACATTAAGGTTTTTGCTGCTTATTCTGTTTCTGCAATCAACTGGGGTGTCTTTAGAGTCACTGCAAACAGCCACAATTTAAAATAAAAAACCCATTCTATAACCAGTGTATGGATTGTGTATAGGGCTTGGGATGCCAAGTAAGAAGTGAATTTAATATTTGTGGGAAGAAACAGATTTACTTATATATAGGCTTGGCAGGATTCACTTTTATCAGTATAAAGTCTGTAAAATATTGATTTCACTGTGCACATATAAAAACAACTAGAAGATTTTTCGTCAAAAATAATCTGAATATACAGATAGGTAAAATAAGAAAAATGCTGTGTGAAACCTTACTAGAATTTGCTTTAAAGATATTTACTATATTTATTCTGATATGTGATGTTGACTATTTGTGTTTTAACGGTTACAAAGCTTTTATTTTTTGTATCTCAGCATTTATGGTCATAAAATTGTCTGAAACTCATCTATAATTTTGCAGAACTGTGAAAATTGAAACAGATATCATTTTAATAAAATGGTTTATTAAAAATAAACACAGATATTACCTGTTGAAATCATAACAATAAAAATTAAATTCTGACAATTCTACTTATATGGCCCTGTCAGCACAGTATTCAATCACGTCACAATCTTTAATGTATTTATCCTCACAGCATTTTTGTAAGGTAGCAAAGTGCTATTATCTATTTTTTACAGCTGGAATACTGAGGCATAAAAGGACTAAGAGACTTGCTCTCGGCCACACAGGAAATCTATGCCAGATAACTTGGGTCTCCCAAGTCCCAGCCTAAAGCCTTAAGCATTTTCTTCATGGGAAATGCCAGGTTGACAGGCTGGGAGGCTTAAATCCCTCAATTATCTCCTGAGCAGATACAGCACACGCAGTGGCAATGCAGCCTGACTTGAGCACTAAATCAGTGTCTCCCAGCCTTTTCAAGGATATGGACCCCTTTTCAATCTATTAAGATTTTATGGACCCCCCCCAAACAATATAGTTGTTCCTGCTGCTTGCACATCCCCCAGCCCACGCTGCTTCCCAACCTGCAGAAAGCAACATGGGTTGAAGGACATGTGAGAGGCTCCATGTGGACCCCCTACAGTACCGCCACGGACCCCCAGGGATCCATGGACCACAGGTTGGGAACCACTGCACTAAATGACCTCCTTGCCGGCAATCCTGGCAGAGAGGCCAAAGATTGAAGTCCTGGAGAGCAAACGCTATTCTTTTCTTCACAGATCGTGCTCCAGGACAGGACTAGCATGAGCAGTCAGCTTTGCACTGCAGCTGTCAGTACTGTGCTGTTACCTGCTTTATTGCTGGCACTGCAATACCTTCCACAGATGCTAATTTCTCATTTAATATTAAATGGAAAAGTGATGTGAGGTTTCTTACTTGTCTTTATGATGCTGAGAACAGGTTCGAGTACAAAACTTCCGATTCTCCAAGCAGTCCATTTGCTCACAGTTTTCACAGGCTAAGATGTCTGAGCTAGGCACGTTGGCTTTGGGCTCTGCAGAAGAGGGACAAGGACAATGATTACAGAAAAATTTAAAAACTGCAACTTTTATCACCTCTCATCCAAGTAGCTCTCTCAATGCCCTTTATAAACTTTCATTAAGTGAGCCTCACACCTCTTGAAAGGAATCATAGAATCCTAGAGCTAGAAGAGACCTCAGGAGGTCATCAAGTCCAGCCCCCTGCCCAAGCCAGAACCAATCCCAACTAAATCAATCTGGCCAGGGCCTTGTCAAGCTGAGACTTAAAAACTTCCAGGGATGGTGGTTCCACCATCTCCCTAGGTAACCCATTCCCATTCCAGTACTTTACCACCGTCCTAGTGAAATAGTTTTTCCTAATATCCAACCTGGACCTCTTCCACCGCAACTTGAGATTATTGTTCCTTGTTCTGCCATCCGTCACTACTGAGAACAGCCTCTCTCCATCCTCTTTGGAACCCCCCTTCAGAAAATTGAAGGCTGCTATCAATTCTCCCCCCTCTCCCCCCGGCATCTTGTCTTCTGCAGAATAAACAAACCCAAATCCCTCAGTCTCTCCTCATAGGTCATGCGCTCCAGCCCCCTAATCATTTTGGTTGCCCTCCGCTGGACCCACTCCAATGCGTCCACATCCTTTCTATAGTGGGGGGGCCCAGAACTGGACACAATACTCCAGATGTGGCCTCACCAGAGCTGAATAAAGGGGAATAATCACTTCTCTAGATCTGCTGGCAATGCTCTTCCTAATGCAACCCAATATGCCATTAGCCTTCTTGGCTGCAAGGGCACACTGTTGACTTATATCCAGCTTCTCATCCACTGTAATCCCAGGTCTTTTTCTGTAGAACTGCTACTTAGCCAGTCGGTCCCCAGCCTGTAACAATGCTTGGGATTCTTCCATCGCAAGTGTAGGACTCTAAACTTGTCCTTGTTGAACCTCATCAGATTTCTTTTGGCCCAATCCTTTTATCAGTCTAGGTCACTCTGAACCTTATCCCTGCCCGCTAGCATATCTACCTCTCCCCTAGCTTAGTATCATCCGCAAACTTGGTGAGGGTGCAATCCATCGCCTCATCCAGATCATTAATAAAGATGTTGAAAAAAACCGGTCCTAGAACCGATCCTTGGAGTACTCTGTTAGAAACCTCCCACAAACCTGACATTGAGCCATTAATCACTACCTGTTGGGCCTGACAGTGTCGCCAGCTTTCTATCCATCTTACAGTCCATTTATCCAATCCATTCTTCCTTAACTTGCTGGCAAGAAATATTGTGGGAGACGGTATCAAAAGCTTTGCTAAAGTCAAAGTATATCACATCCACTGACTTTCCCATATCCACAGAACCCGTTACCTCATCATAGAAGCTAATCAGATTGGTCAGGCATGACTTGCCCTTCGTGAATCCATGTTGACTATTCCTGATCACTTTCCCCTCTTCCAAGTGCCTCAAAATGGATTCCTTGAGTATCTCCTCCATGATTTTTCCGGGAACTGAGGTAAGGCTGACTGGTCTGTAGTTCCCTGGATTGTCCTTCTTCCCTTTCTTAAAGATGGGCACTACATTTGCCTTTTTCTAATCATCCGGGATGTCTCCCGATCTTCATGAGTTTTCAAACATAATGGCCAAAGGCTCCACAATGACATTTGCCAACTCCCTCAGTACCTTCAGATGTATTAAATCCGGACTCATGGATTTGTTTATATCTAGCTTTTCTCAATAGTTCCTAACTTGTTCTTTCCCCACCAAGGGCTGTCCACTTCATTCCCCTACCGCGTTGTCTAGTGCATTTGCCTGGGAGCTGACCTTGTGCGTGAAGACAGAGGCAAAGAATGCACTGAGTACTTCAGCTTTTCCCACATCATCTGTCACTAGGTTACCTTCCTCATCCAGTAAGGGCCCCACATTCTCTCTGATCACCCTCTTATTGCTAACATGCCTGCAGAAACCTTTCTTGTTACCCTTCACATCTCTTGCTAGCTGCAAATCCAATTGTGCTTTCACCTTCCTGATAACTCCCCTGCATTCTCGAGCAATATATTTATACTCCTCCCTAGCCATCTGTCCAATTTTCCACTTTTTGTAAGCTTCCTTTTTGTGCTTAAGCTCATCAAGGATGTCCCTAGTATGCCAATCTGGTCGCCTACCATATTTGCTTTTCTTGCTGCGCATTGGGATGGTTTCTTCCTGTGCTTTTAATAAGGCTTCTTTAAAATACTGCCAGCTCTCCTGGACTTCTTTCCCCTTCATGTTAGCATCCCAGGGAATCCTGCCCATCAGTTCTCTGAGGGAGTCAAAGTCTGCTTTTCTGAAGTCCAGGGTGTTATTTTGCTACTCTCCTTTCTTCCTTTGGTCAGGATCCTGAAATCTACCATCTCATGATCACTGCTTCACAGGTTGTCACCCACTTCTACTTCCACTAGGTAATTATTATGTCTGATCTGGTATTTAAAGAGAGTGTTTTCTGTTATTAAAGCATGAACTATTCATATCTAAAGAAACTGTAGTATTTTAATATTAGGAAAACTCTGGCTCCTCTGTAAAGGTATCAGAGAATTAATCTCATTGCTCTATCCAGGATCCAATAAGAAGATTTATTTTTAATTCCTTTATATTTTCAGAGACAAGTGCAAATTTTGCTTGAAATTTTTGTCAAAAGTGATTAACTTTTTTTGGAAGGGGCGTGACGCTTGTAACGTCTCGTCTTTAAAAGTCGGTCTTCAAATGTATTTTTCAGACATCCTGAACAGCTCTATTAAGAGGTCCCTGGAAAAGACCAGTTATAGGTCTGCCATTAAAAGTATTTGAAAATATATAAATGGCTCTACACTAGCAAGGAACATGAAAAAGATGAATACAACAACGCTGACTTAAATAATAAGCGTGAGAATCCCAATATAACAGTGTTTCTCAAAGTGGTCCATGAAACCACTTTGAAAAGCTGTTAACTGGCTGCGCTGGTGTGTTTACTCACCAGCGCCGTGGCCACACAGCCTTGCAGCTCCTATTGGCATTGATTCACTGTTTGCAGCCAAGAGGAGCTGCAGGAAGTAGTAGCCTGGCCCACGCCACTTCCCACGGCTCACCTTGGATGCAAACAGCAAACTGGCACCAATAGGAGCCATGAGGCTGCGTGGCCATGGCGCCGGTAAGTGAACACACTGGTACAGCCAGATAACAGGTTTCTCAAAATGATTTCGCAGACAGCTTTGAGAAACTCTGCAATATAACAATTTTACAGCTCGCCTTTATTTAAGTTCTGCATATGAATGCTAAATCCAGATCTAATATTGCATTAGATAACACAAGTCCATGTTTCCAAAACTCAGCACCAAAGTAATGCATATTTTGTTCATCTATAACTAGGCAATGTTGTGCAGTAATTATGCCCTTGGACATGCATGTTGTCTGGCTGCAATCTACTATACCTAATACAAGTGAAGCTGCATATTTTATGCTCACAATTAACTGCTTTAACACAGTTAGATGGAAACATGGTCTCAAACACTAGAAAAAAACAGTCAAGTAATATGTACTGTTTCAATTCTTCCCTGTCCTTCATTCACCAAGGCTTGTAATATCTTGCCAGAAGACTGAAAAATACATTTGCATTTTATAGTTTACATTTGATGCCTCAGAGAGGTAAATATAGACCTCAGATGGATTTGGCTGGTATTCAGCAGATGCAGTCCATTTGTAATACATCCTAAACTCTTTCCATCTTCCCATGCAGACTTGCTGATTCCAGACACAGGGAAGGCAGGTAAAGGGGAACTCTTACATAAAAGGTTATGCCTGCAGAACTCTGCTCTCTTGGCAGGCACATTGTCAGGGTTAAAGTGTAGCAAGGCTGTCTTACTGCTTGTCTCTGCATCATCAGACCAGATTTTTAGCCTGATGGAAAAACATCTTTTAGTCCAGCAATGGGCAACCAAGACCACTGAGTGGTCTGCATGAGTAGTCCTCCTTTGTCTCAGTGGACTGCATGATAACCAGTGGTGGACAACCTGCAGTCCACGGCCCACTGGGAGGCCCCCGTGACTTTGTACCAGGAGTTCTAATCCCCAGCCTCCAGGTAACTAGTGTGCACGTAGTCATTAGGATTAGCCAATAAACCCAGGTTTATTGGTTAATCATGTAAACAACTATATGCTAACCTCCCTAGTAGAAATATATTTAAAAACAGAGTGATTCATTAAATGATCAACACCACACTGCATATGCTAACACATACGGTATTGCTACAGGAAGTGCTTAATAAAATATGTAATTCCAGTGTCCTGTTATGCAGTGTATTTGGTCCCTCAGCAGTGCACAAAACTCACCTTTGGAAGCAGTGCCAGCGACAGCAGTGGCTTTAGAGGCAATGGAGTAGAAGTGCCAGGATTGAGGCTGGCTATGCTGGTGTTTATTGCTGGAGCCCAGAGAGTTTTTATGGCTTCTGCTTCTACTTCAGTAATGATTTCAAGTGTTCCAAACTCAAACGTAACTGAAGGTAACAAACAAAAGAAAAGGCTAAAGAACACAAGCAAACTAAACAGCAGCAGACTGGCCTGAAAGGGGAAATGATAGTGCATGAGATTCAATTCGCAAGCAGAGCTGGGACAAAAATGCTATTGGCAAGAGAAATTGCTTTTCATTCAACATTGAGTCATAAAAAAAAATCTTATTTTACCAGGAAATGCCTGTTCTGTGGTGGTCTCATAAAAAAGCTATTGATCCACTTCAGTGTTAATACTGAAAAGCTAGGCTTATTCTTTTGTGCTTCAGATTTATTTCTCCTTTATGTAATTCAAACCTTTGACATTTCTAGCAAACAAACTGGAGCAACTTATATGCCCTCTGAAAAAGAGAAGCAACTTGGCCAAAATCCCTGGTCTGAGTTTTTAATATTAGCCTATGATGAATAAATGGGTTATAATGTGGTTACCAAACAGAAGCAACCTACCTAAAAATCTTCTAACAAGTAGGAACTGTTAAGAAAGAGGTTACTTGGGCAATAATTTTGAAAGGGGGGGGCCACTTCACAAATTTCGGAAGTGGTCGCGGGCCAACCTGGAAGGGGTAGGCCAGGCAGGGTTAAGAACTACCTTGCTGAGTATGGTGACCTTATTTTCTGAACCAGCTGCAGCTAGTAAGAACAGTTTAATTTACATTATGAAACAGATTAAGTGTTTAACCTGAACATGATGGACTCACATTTCCCTGGTACTCATTTCTAATGTTCCCTTTGTTCAGTCCGCTCCCATGCCTTGAATTCTGTGGGGAGGCATGGTAGTCCTGCCTGAGTTTAAATCATTCTGTGCCTCTCAATTTCTGTTGTAACTCTCCCTCACAAAGAAAACAGGCAGGGAACCTATATCCAGATCAAATGTCAACCTCTATCTCGATTGGTTCTTTTGTACCCCCGAACGACACCTTTACTAGGTACCTGAGTTAACCCCTTAGTCACCAGGGGCTGGTCAGCACTCCTGTTCATGACATAGCTATGTCTAGAAACTCTACATTAACTGAAGGAAAGTCGAGAGAAGCTCTCCCCCCCCCTTGCAACTTTCCAGAAATCACACTAGGAATCCACTACTTTTTTGGTGACTCTAACTCTGTTTTGTCACAGGAGTAGCTGACGGGATAATCATTCTAAGGCAGGGTTTCCCAACCTATGGGTCCGGACCCAAATATGGGTCGCTATTACATTTCAAAAGAGTCACCAAGTGTCTCTCCAGGTGGCTCTTAAGGAGCCAGTCACATATTTGAAAAGGTAGGCTGCACAGCTGGCTTAGTCTTAAGGAGCCATTCACCTGAAGTGGTACTCAACTTAATTGGTTTAACAACCTTCAGGCAAAAAAACCAAAACAAAACAACAAATGGTCTGGTAGCACTTCATAGACTAACAAAACATGTAGATGGTGTCGTGAGCTTTTGTGAGCACAACCACTTCTTCAGATGACCATGATCCCATCTACATGTTTTGTTAGTCTATGAAGTGCTACCAGACCATTTGTTGTTTTTTTCTGTACAGACTAACTTGGCTACCCCCTGAACCATCAAGCAGTTAAACCAATCAATTGAATTGAATACCATTTCAGTGACTCAGAGCAGAATAGGAAAATATCCCTGGAGGTGGGCTAGGGAACCCAGAGAAGCAGCAGCACCCAGCTCAGGTAGGTGGGGGTGGGGGCCCAGGTGTCCGGGAGGTCTGGTTGAGAGGTTTTCAGTCACCCCAGCTGGGGTTCCCATGGCTGGTGTTGGCTGGCAAGGACTCTGCCCTGGCCGGCTTGCAGCCGTGGGGGGGCTGAGCAATGCAGAGGAATGCTCAGGCAATGGATATGCTAATGAGCGAGGCTCCAGGGACAATGGATCTCTAAATGCCAAAGACACACCTGGCCACTGACCATATGACCCTCTGCAGCTTGGAAGAGACCAGTGATGGATATAAAATGCCATGTGGCAGACTCCATTTTTGTCTTCAGTTTTGCTCCTACTCCCAGATGCAGCCTTACAGGGAACAACAAGCCAGAAAGAACCGTGGACCCATCCTGACATAGGATGTACACCAGAGACTTTTAAGATAGCAGTTTATAACATCTCTGCTTAGAGCCTGTATCGAGAATTGGGTGATTTGATGCATGTAATGTATTATCCTTTAACAACCTTACTCTCATGCTTTTCTTTCTTTTAATAATAAACCTTTAGATTTTAGATTCTAAAGGATTGGCTCAGAGTGATATTCTGGGTAAGATCCAGAGTATAAATTGGCCTGGGAATTGTGTCTGGTTTCTTGAGACCGGAAGAAGTCGTTGGGAGTATGTGAGATTGGGTTTTAAAACCCCTCACCTGTGTGTTAGGCCTGGGGCTGATTGGGGCATAGCAAGAGCTGGGGTGTCAGAGGGGTTTTGCTCGTGAGGCTTCTGGCTGGCCAGATTGGCAGCTGAAGCATTCAGTGTGAATGGTTTGTGGCCTATTTGGGAAGGTCCTCGGTTTGGGGCTGTAAAGAGCCCCAAGTTTGAGCAATTCGTCCTGAGCAGACGCCCTCAGCCGTGCCCACACCCAGCCCGGTCTGTCACAGCAGGGAACTGGGGAGTATCTGGGTTCTAGTACAGAGGCGTAGTGAAGGGGGGGCAAGCAGGGGCAGTTGCCCCCAGGCCATGCTGTGCAGGCCCACCTGATGCTTAGATCAGTGAGCCGGGAGCTGGGCCATGTGCTGCCACCTTGGAACACACTACAAGCAGCAGCAGCTGGCCGGGCAGCAGGCCCGGTCTGTCACAGCAGGGAACTGGGGAGTATCTGGGTTCTAGTACAGAGGCGTAGTGAAGGGGGGGCAAGCAGGGGCAGTTGCCCCCAGGCCATGCTGTGCAGGCCCACCTGATGCTTAGATCAGTGAGCCGGGAGCTGGGCCATGTGCTGCCACCTTGGAACACACTACAAGCAGCAGCAGCTGGCCGGGCAGCAGGAATCATGCTTGGGCAGGCCAGAGCCAGGGGGCACGGAGCAGGGGGTGGGGAGCCAGAGGCGTGTAAGGGCAGGCAACGGCAGGGGGAGAGCACATGTGGAGGGTGGGTCTTGGGAGGAAGAGGTAGCTCAGGAGCATTTTAGGGGGGAAGGACTGTGTTGGGGGGGCCCTTGGGGCAAGATCAGCAGGGTGGGGGATCACGGGTCCAGGTGCTTGTGCCCCCAACCCCACTTTTTGGGCACTTCTGTGATTCTGAACTTGGAGAGCTGGGCCCGCCACAGAGCAGTGCCCAGCCAAGGCAAGGTACAGCACATGTTAAGGACCCGGAGTAAAGTGATGGCTTGGCTGGCAGGGAAGCGAGAAGAACTTTGTATTTGTGAACTCCACCTGCAAGTGCTGAGAACTGAGGTGTGGGGAGCCCCCTCCCCTGTATGCTGAATTTGCCAGTGACCCGGCACCTGGAACCCGGTTCTCTGCCCATTAACTTTCAGCCACTCACCCACCTGTCGCTGGACCACCTCACTTGATTTCATACAGACACAAAGTGCTGTCTAGCAACTGATGGCGCCATCCACCTACTGGAATGGTACCAAGCCTGCGTGACTAATGCAAGGCTAATCCTCACCAGCCCTCGCTCTGCCCATTGGTAACACTCAGAGGGCTCTCTCAAGGAGGCCAACATTGTTCCCATTTTACAGCTGGGGAAACTGAGGCACAGAAGAGGCTGCAGCATGCCTGAGGACACATACCAGGCCAGTCTAGAAGCTCAATTTCCAGTGGTTCGGGGGCTGTTTACACAGGTAGCGAAGGTGTGACCGCAGCACAGGACGGCATAACACGGCTCGCTGTAATCTGGCTAATGTGGGGAACAACCGTGGGGTTGGGGGCTTCAGCAATCATGCCCTGGCTAGTTTGTGCTGTGATCAAGCTGCCCCTTCTCAAAGGAGACAGTCCTGGGAGCTGCTCACCGGCCCGCAGTGCAGCCCAACTAACAGCTGCGAGAGGCAGAAACTGATACCCAGCAGCCACATCTGCCCCCGCTTCTCCCATCCACTCCCCTTGTGCTGTGACACATGCCTAAAGGCATCATAGGGCCCGGCCCCTGAGATCCCATAGTGTGGGAGAAAACAGGGCCTGATATGACCCTCAGTTCAAGGGATCCACTTGATGGAGGGGCCTGGCACCAAAATCCCACTGGTGCACAGAAGGCTACAGGACCTCTCTAGGGGCGCTGCCTCCAGTTCAGTCCCAGGGCAGGGGGCACAGGCTGGCTCACAGAGGTATGGATGGGCTTGGGGACCCGTCCCCTCTAGGGGGCACCGGTTCCTATCTAACCCCATGTGAGCAGTATAGAATCACAGAACACTAGAGCTGGAAGGGACCTCGACAGGTTATAGAGTCCAGTCCCCAGCCCTCACGGCAGGACCAAGCATCCAGGGCTTCTCAACACATGGCCCACTGGCCACATGTTGCCCACAGCCCGTTTGTTTACGTGGTTTGGGTTTATGTGGGGATCAACACGCAGCCGGCGGGTGGGAGCCAAAACAAAAAAGTAGTCTATGTAATGGTCTTCTGTTGAGATGCGTTTTAGTAGTTAAATTTTTGGACTGTCAAGTGTTGTCCTATGGGTGGAAATCGGATGAATGTTGCATTTTATTAATATCAGCAGAATTGACTTAAATGGGGCTTGTGTGTCATGCAGTCTTGCCTTAATCTTTGTATTCATGCCCGTCAGCGTGAAACAAGATATTTGTATGAATCAGGCTTCTCACATTTGCTTATAATTAAAAAGAAATATCGAAATAAATTAAACATAGAAAATGATCTTCAATGTGCACTCGCCACAATTCCAAGGATACAACAGTTAGTAAAGCAAATGCAAGTTCAACCACCCTATTAATTTAAGTTCGGGTGAAACTGTTTGGTAAAATATTAAATGTTACTTGTTTTTTTGAATAATGTGTATTATGTTTCTAATATTTTTGTAACACCTGTGAGACTCCCAGGCCCAGATTGTGACTCTGAGTGTGAATCTCAGG